TTATTTTTATCATCTTTCCCCTTTAATTTAAACTTATTTTACAATAAATATCAATTAAATATAAGATAAACACAAGTTTAAAGATATTTAAATATATATAAATATAAAAACTCGTATGTAAAAATAGCCAAATAAATGTATCTTTATAAATATAAATACAATTAAATGCATTTTTATAAATATAACCAGCATTTCCAGCTATTGTGGAAATAAAAAAAAAATTTCAAGACGTGTAAAAGTTTTTTAATAAAAGAGATTGATTCAGTAATGTTGATGTCAACTGTTCAGGAGCGGATGCAGCATTTTTTGATGTTTGAGATATCTAACTTGCAGTCATGGAACAAACTCCAAGAATCTATATATTTATACTTATATCAAATAAGGATGCTTTGCAAAAAATTGCAATGATTGGAGCCTGGGAACAAAAAAACCCTAAAATTTTAGCTACACTTGCCCTAAACGTGAGAGCAACAAGTTGATGAAATATTTTTTCTACTATTTTCAACCAAGTATATATTTATCGAAAAATTTTAAAACTCACACAATAATCTCTTAGCGTTCAACAATTATGGCCTTATAAATTTTGCAACCCCCTCAAATTGAGGGGGGAGGGGGTTCAAACTTTTTATGGTCATAGTTTTTGAACGCTGAAAGGTTTTTTTGTGAATTTTAAAATTTGTCGATAAATATAATACTAGTTAAGAATAGTATAAAAATTATTTTATCAACTTGCTGCTCTCACGTTTGGGGCAGGTGTAGCTAAAATTTCAGGGCTTTTTTGTTCCCAGGCTCCAATCATTGCAATTTTTTGCAAAGCATCCTAATTTGATATAAGTATAAACATATAAATTTTTGGAGTTTGTTCCATGACTGGAAGTTAGGTATCTCAAACATCAAAAAATGCTGCATCCGCGCCTGCTGTTGTTTAACAACGCATTTGAAATGTTGAAAAGAGTTTATCGTTTTAATCTCATTTGAAAGAAATTGTGGTCCTCTTCTAGATATTGAGAATTTGGATTGTTTCAAAGATATTTTTGGAATATAGTAGTAATTTCCAGTTATTATGTTCATCTAGAATGACTCCTAAAACCTTCACAGAAATTTATCTTTTTAAATTTGTTTTGTCAACTAAAATATCTGTGAGTTTTAATGGTAACGTGTCTGACTTTGATGGTTTTGTGAAAAGAATGTATTTTCTTTTTTCAATGTTCAAGGAAAATTTGTTGGCCTTCAACCAATCGCTTAGCTCTTAAAGCTCCTGATTTACTGTGTTAAAAATAGTTTTAATATTTGAGTGGGTGTAGAAAGCTTGGGTGTCATCAGCAAAAAGGATAAAATTTAGTATACGAGAAGATAAAAATATGCCGTTAGTATAGACAAGAAAAAGCAAAGGACCTAAAATAGATCCCTGGGGAACACCACAAGTAATGGTTTCAAAGGAAGTGTAAGTTTTATTGTAATATAAAGCTTTTTTCCAATTGTTTAGATGGCAACTAAACCATTTTAGATTTTTATTTTTAATACCATAATTACTTAATTTGTATAGAAGGATTTCGTGATCCACTGTATCAAACGCCTTTAACAAATCGATAAATACTCCAAGCGAATATTGATTTTTGTCAAAGTTTCGTTAACTAGCTTTATTACTGCAAGTTCAGTTGAATGGTCTTTTTTAAATCAGTATTGGTTATTAAAAAGGATATTTTTATTTTGGAGGTATCAAAAAAGTCTATTGTACATAATGTGCTCTAGTACTTTCGAGAAGCATGAAAGTGTGAAGATAGGTCTATAGTTTGATAATGTAGAGTTATCTCTGCTTTTATATATCGGAACTACGCGTGCTAATTTTAAGTATTCAGAAAAAATTCCACTTTTTAATAAGAGACTCTTTTTTGATTGAATTGTTTTAAATGCGTTTCGAAGCTCATCGGAAGATAAGTCAAACTCGTCAATTACAAAGTCCACTTCTTTTAAATATGATTTAAATATTTTTTTACTTTAAGTTATTTTATTAGCCAGTGTGTTTCCGATGTTGATAAAATAATTGTTAAAGCTTTAAGCAATCTTTGATCATTAATAACAATGTTTTTGTTATCATTTAAATGGTTTTGCAGGATATTACCTGAATCAATCTTTTTCTTTTATAACATCCCAAGTCTTTTTATTATTACAAATATTACTTTGTAAAAGATTTAAATAACAATTTTTTTTAGCTTGTTTCTTAAGTTTTTCAAATAGGTTTTTATAACTTTTTTATATTTTTTCATTTTTGTAAGTTTTTATTTTTTTTATATTTTTTGTGGAATTTTTGTTTTTTCTTGGAAGATTTGATGAGGCCTTGTGAAATCCATGGATTTTGTAAGTTTTTATTGCTTTTGAATGGCTTTTTCATAAGAATTACTGAACTCACAAATAAAATGTTCATAAACTTTATTTGCGTATTTGTAGTTAATAAGTTGTTCCGAGTTTATTAGCGATAAGTGACCGCGAATAATTTTAATACCATTTTCATTGCTTCTTTGTACGGCGTGAAAACATTTTAATTTATTCGTGCCCTTTACAAATTTCTTTAAACGTTATAACCAATCAAACATTAACTTCACTAGGTTTATAACCGTAAGTTTCTTTAGAAGTACAAAGTAGTTTGTTATAATTCCAGCAACTGCAGCAGAAAGACCATCTGAAACTTTTTTTTAATTAAAGAAAAAAGGACTAAACAAACTACGAAACTTGACTATTAAAAACTATACGGCCCGAACTTTAAATTTTGATGATGTTATTATTATTATTATTATTTTTTTTTTTTTTTAAATAATAACATCATCAAAATGTCGGAGAACTTTTATAATAATTACCTGGTAAAGATTAAATTATTATTTAACTATAAATATGTAATACATATGCTTTTAAAAATAAAATTATTAGATATTTAAAAAAAACAACTCAATATTAGTAATGTTGTTAGTAAGCTCTTAAGTAATTTATAAAAATTCAGTTAAAAGATGATGATTTTTATTAAGGGGTCCATCAAATGAGTTCGCCTCGCGATGGTTACGTCACAGACTATTAAATTAACTATTTTAGCCAGATGTAAATATATTTTCAAATATTTTAATCGTGATTATTTGTAAATAAATTTAATAGTTAAAAAATAAAAAAGTATTTATGAAAAGCTTTGAAGCTTTAAAAATTGATTTAATTTTTTTTTTGTTAAACAGCTATTTTATTAAATTAAACTTTTTTTATATTTGTATTTTTTTTTTTTTTATTTTTTTTTTTAATTTTTATTTTGCTATATAAGTATATATACATACAATCAATATTTCAGTATAAATACAGATTGCCGGGACAAGAGGAAGACACAATTTGTCTTATCACCAAGCCCCATTAATTACGTTGTTAAGACGACTGTTGTCGCAATTGTAAAGTAACTTGAAACTAGAGTTTTGTATATATTTGTTTGGTTTTATACAAACGGTATCAGCGTATATGCAAGTAATTTAGCTTGCCAATTTTAAAGGCGTTTTTCACGTGACGAAAAAATGAGTATCTTTCTATATGTCCCTTTCTTTTGCTTAAACGCCGCGACGTCTAGACGTCGCGGCGTTTTAACAAACTTTTTATCGCGTAAATCAAAACAACTGTTTTAACTTTCGTTAAAAATATTTTTCGATGCTATTTTCTAACATCATCTATTTTCTAACAATGTCGCTTTAAAAAAAGAGTATTATTTTTAAAAGTTTTACAGCATGAAAAACTAAAAAAAGGAAAAAAACTTAAAGTCTTAATATTTTCATTAGTTTAATAAATAAATCGAAGAATAGAAGTCACTACAAACGACCATCTTGCCTTTGCACACGCATAAAGATCTATCAGAAGCGTTCTTATAGATGCAGCTAACAACTTATTGCACATTCTTGTAATATTTAAATTTTTTTTAAAAGACTGTTAACAAAAGAACACGAGAAAAAAAATAATAAAAGAACACGTGAATGAAAAGGTTTAATAAAATAGTTATAATTATTAGTGATTATATTCTGAAAGTACTTTTTTACGATTGCTTTTTTGATCTAAATGAAAAGTAGATAAAAAAAAGCGCTCCGAGTATCTTCATATATTCTGAATATTCGACTATAAAATTCTAGTAATAATAAAATTCAGAGTAACTCGAATATCTTAGTTTGAATTCCTGTTGAGTTTGATTAGGATAGGGTTGTTAGGGTTGCATTTTAAAATAATCTTATAATATCCTGATGGTTTAGAGTTAAATATATATTTAATATATGTGAAGTATTCACTTTAAAAATATTAAATATATTTCTAACTCTTATCCTAAGTATGGAGTGAAATGTGTTAAATATATAACAAGGGTTAAAAATATTTGTTCAAAGCTATTCAATATAACCTCCATAGCCGTTGTAAATAGTTCAAATATGTTGGTAAGGGCTACAAATATTTTATTAGGGGATTCAAATATGTTGCTAGCTTTGCTCCTTTTGACCATGAGTTAATTTTTCATTTATTAGCTGCGTTTTTTTGAAAAAGTATGAAATGTTTAGTCATTAAAATTATATTTTGATTATGGTAGCAAATGATTTTTTTGTTTTGTTTAACTTTTTTGCAAAACTCAAAATAAATTTATGTCATGACTTATCGTTAGCATTTTTAAATTTTTGGAAAAATTTTATTTTAACAGAATGTTTTTTACCTAATATTTCTATTTAAATGAACAATTATTTTATATTAATCTACATCAAACTATTTATATTATGCATTAATTGGAAACAAGTAAAATAATAAAAAATATTAAGTAAATATGAATAAAGTTGTTTTTGTTAAGACTAAATATTGAAAATAGTTTCCTAACCAACGTCCTTCTTTATACGTAGGAGAGAGCAGTGCTAAAACGTAATTAAAATTTAGATTTTTCAGTACTCTTCTACTAAAATAGAAGGACGTTAGTAACCTTAGTAATACAATTTCCTGAAATAATAAAATAACATCAATGATAGAGTTTGATTTACAACGCGTCTTTGGTAGTAGCTAAAACTCTTCTGCGTAATGGTCTTGCTTGTCAAGTATTTGGTAGTAAAGATGTTAAGGATTATTCTTACAAAAAATTTTTAAAATTTTACGTAAATATTTTTTTGTTTGTTTACACAAGATGAGACCAAAGAATGTTGAGATCAACGACAGGCATATAAAGCAAAAGAAAATAATACGTAAGGAAAATATTTTTTAAAAAAAGATCCCTCAAACTCAAATGTTTGAAAGAAAATTTAATCTTAAAAATTTGTCGAATTAGTTCGAATTTCTTAACGTTTAAAAGTTATAACTACATTGACTTAAGAATCCCCCCTCATTAAAAATCTTTGAATTACGCTAAACTTTACAAGAACGCATGTTAACTATGACGATTCAACGTCAAGTCTTTATTTATATATATATATATATATATATATATATATATATATATATATATATATATATATATATATATATATATATATATATATATACATATATATATATATATATATATATATATATATATATATATATATATATATATATATATATATATATATATATAATATATATATATATATATATATATACATATATATATATATACATATATATATATATATATATATATATATATATATATATATATATATATATATATATATATATATATATATATATATATATATAGAGAGAGAGAGAGAGAGAGAGAGAGAGAGATAGATATAGATATAGATAGATATATATATATATATATATATATATATATATATATATATATATATATATATATATATATATATATATATATATATATATACATACATACATATATATATATATATATATATATATATATATATATATATATATATATATATATATATATATATATATATATATATATATATATATATAAATTAAGATTATTGCATACATATTGTTGCTTGTAATAATACGCAACAATAGTATGCAAATATTAGTAGCTTGCAGTGCTAATATATAAAATGCAGTAGTATGCAATCGATTTATAAATATTAGAAGACTCTATTTTCAAACGGTTCATTACATATTAAGTTTAAAAAAAGACAACAGTAAAATGTGTTAAGGTTAGGGAATTATTCGTAACGTCTAATCAGTTTGAGCTACTATCTATTTACTAATGCAGCTACACAATTCTATATTTATAGATCGTTTTTGAAAATAAATTTTAATAGCAAAAGTTAAATTTTTTTCGTTTTTTCGTTTCAATTCCATATTTAGTAAATAAAGATATTTGTGAGCAAACTCATCAGTTATTTTTCGTTTGATTTGAACAGACGTGAAGAATTAGCCAACCAACTGCTTCAACAACTCTACTCAACTTCAACCGCTTCAACAACTTTACCGAACTATTAATTACGACTCAATGTGTGTTGGTCGCATTTGAAGCCGCAATATCCTGTACGAGTGCGCCAAAACAAAAAATTTTCAAAACATTACATTGCAAATTCAAAAAAAATATTTGTGTATATTTGTGTTTTTGTATACATTAACGATTTCTGAAGCCTAATATAAAATTTTGTTAAAACGCTTTTTTATTCTAAAATTTTTATTTCAAGTCTAAATTTTTTATTCTAAGCCAAAATAAAAATAAATAAATAAAAAAGTCTAAATTAAAAGTTTTATTATAAAAATTATTAATTTTAGCAAACGCCAAGATTCAAGGAAACATTCCCAAGACTTGAGGAAACATCTTGCAGCTATTAAAATATTATTATATATATTTTTAATTAAACTAAAATGTATGAACTGCACATAAAATAATACTTCTGACTAAATAATGTGATTTCTGGGTAATAATGTGATGTCTGGGTAATAATGTGATGTCTAGGTAATCCTCTTTTGTTTCACACATCAAACATGCACATTAGGAGTTTATTTTATATAAATCCCTTAAAAAAAACCTTTTTATAAAGAAGTTTCATTACGCTTGTTAAAGTTTGTTCATCCCTCAAAGTTTAATGTCTTTGAGCATTTTAGAATAGTAATTCGGCACTTCAGTAACTTTGAACACAGCTACTTACGGAACAGTGGGCAAGGAATCAAACGCAAAATAAAGAGCTATTCTCAACAAAAGAATACCAGTTAGTTCTTTGTTTTTTGTTCGCCTGAGAGCGTTTAAGTTATTCGAATAAGTTCCTTTGTTTAAACCAAGTTGATATTTGTCTCTTTTTTTTGAGTTTGATCTTTTGATCAAAAATGTGCGTGGCGTATTGTTGTTTGAATTTACTCCGAAAACGAAATTTAGATTTTATAGAGAATCGTTATACCGATAAAAAACGACAATAATTGCAATAGCTGAACAAAAGATGGCTATGCACGGAGGGGCCTTGCATAATGAAATATTTGAGGGAAGCTTAGGTGACGTAAAAAAAGCAGACTTCACTCCAGGTTATGATAATAACAAAAACAGTATTGACATGGAACGTAAGTAATATTTTTTATATTTTTTTTATTTTTAAAATAAAACAAAAATTAGTTTTAAAATCGTAAACTTAATTACAACTTTAGTCATCAACTAGTTTTTCTTATGAATGTTTATTTGCTATGAGATTATAATTAAACTTCTTCTTTTCTATAATAGGTTTACCTAATAAAGAGTTTTACGACAAAATAAACGCAAAGCGAGAAATTCCAAATGGGATTAATCTGGCTCCTCTAAAAGACCCGCGTTCAGATATTGATGCCGTTAATATTCCACAACAACGGCAAGACAATATAAATTTGAATATTACTTTGCCACATACAAAAACTCCTGAAAATCAAAGGATTGATACCCAACTTCAAAATCCTGTTCCAGGGCAAACCCGCGAAATAAACCCTCCGACAAGTATTTATGGAATTGAAAACTTGACGGGAAAACCATACGACCAAGATATGAAACTCTTACCAGATATGACGTCACCGAGATACTTAGGATTGCAACCAGATAGTAGACCAATGGCAGATATGCAATCACCAAGATATCCTGGTGTTCATATGAATTCTCCACACCATTCTTCTCCTGATAGAGAAACCAGCCGACAAAATCATCGTTCTGAAAATAATGCACCGTGGACTTCCCCGGTTAAGCCACACAATTATCGAGCAGTTGCTCCTCCAACTAGTCCTTACATTGACAATCGCGATCCAAATTATTCATGTTCACCAAGAAGATACGTACCGCCATTCTACAATAACGGTCGGAATTTTGGGCATCCAAATGATCGAAATAGGTACGCCGCATATCCGTTAGGAAGTCCTTTAATGACAACTATGGGATATCCACGTGAACCGGTAGATTCTCGTTATAATCTTCACATGGGAGTTGTAGGGTTTGATGATGATAAGTTTAAACTTTCACCTCCTAGCATGGATGATAAGCATATATGGACAAAACAAGAAGTTGAACTTTTGTTAGATTTGTACGAGGAACACAAAATTAAACTGCAAGATCCTCGTGTCAGAAAAACTAAAGTCTGGGAAGATATAGCTAAAGAAATTCACGACAAATTGGATTCAGACGTTAACGGATGTCAATGCAATCAAAAGTTTAGAAATATGAAAGCAGATTTTCAAAAAGTTGTAGAACACAACTCAAGATCTGGCTCATTTCGAAAAACGTGCAAGTACTACGAAAGATTAGAAAAATTGTTAACTCCTATGAGTGAAACAGAGAAACTTAAAGAGGAAGCAGAAAGTGAAACCACATATTATAACAGTTTTAATAAACTGGCTCAAAATGCTACTCAAAATGCTAACGGATTTTATGATACAACTTCTCGAAGCACGTCATCTTCTGAATCAAGCGAGCATCATTCGTATGAAACAGAAACAAGAAGCACGCCGAGTTCGCCTGAAAAACGAACATTAAATCAAATGGAAATTGGCAGTAACGAGGCATCCCCACCACCACCTCCAAAGCGAACTTGTATTGAATGCGGAGGTATGGACAAACGCGAACTTATTGACGTATTAAAGGAGTTTTTAAAGGAGCAAAGAATTCGTGAAGAACAAACAATAAGCAAAATAAATGCATTACATAAAGAAAAAATAGACACTGTGGTTAGATTTCTTGACCTTTTTCAGGAGTTAGTTAAAAAAGTCTAACTGAATTTATTTCTGACTTGGATGGATCTTTGCTTGCTAATTAACATATTCTCATTTCTTTTATTAATTTTTTTTTTCTTAATTGAATTAATTATTTATAGTAATATTTATAGCTAATGATTTTTTTTTAATTTAATTTTGTAGTGGAATTATTTTGTACGTAATTTATTTGTAATATAGATCAAATGTAAAATTATTGGGTAGAATACATTAAGTATACCAACTAATAATTTAATTTACCTTTAGAAACTATTATTTTAATTAGTAACATAGTTAGTATAAAGAGTATAATTTGCAATAATATATACCAGACGTGGTGCCTGAATAGTCCTCAGCTCAATTAAACGGTATACAGAATCATTTGGGTACATAGTCATGTCAGGATATGTTATAGATATTTTGTAGTAGTGTTTTGAATTCTAGTAAGCTAATTGCATTAGAAATTACAAAAATTGATATAGTCAATATATACGGATATAGATTGATACATACATATATTTACAAAATCTTTAGTAGTCCAACATTAAACTACTGTTTAGAGTGAATCAATTTGAATTGCATTTTTTTATTGCACAAATTTTATGGGGTTGTTGCTCTTTGCTTATATTTTCTCATATGCAATCCTAATTCAAATTGGTGGCAACAATTTCAACCAGAACGGACCTCTGTCATTTGACCAAATTGGTCGCAGCCTTTATAAAAAAAAAAAAAAAGTTCAAATCCATGGCCTAAACATTCGCTAAATATGAATCAATTCAAAATATAAAGATAGTCAACATGCAGAAAACTTCATAGCTTAATTCATGTATGGGTACATGACTCTGAAATCAAAAAAATGTGCTGAAAATGAAACGTGCATCAATAAATTGAAAAGATTTAAGGAAAATAATTTCACATAAAATCATTGTTTTATGCTCCACTGTACTATAGAGAAAAGTTTTTGAAACACTAAGGAATAAAACATTTAGAATTCATTTCACAAATCAAATAATAAAGACATTCAATCCAGATATACTTTTAACCAATTTTTCTAAATTGGAACGAACCGCTTTTTTTAACAGAATGAACAAAAATTGAATAAAAATAAATTTCATGTTTACATTGAATTTAAATTTAAAATATTTTAAATTACGGTTAAGATTACTTGTATTTTACAATACAATATTACTTGTATTTTAAATCCTATTGCATTAAACACGAAAAACTGTATAACCGGCTACATAGTTTACCCAGTGCAATCAATAGAGTGTACATATGACTATATTCTGTGTAAATGTCTAGTTAACTTGTAATACGTTGCTTGAGATAAAGAAACTCTTGAACTCAGCTGTTAAATACCATCTCAAAATTATTAACATACATATCTAAATTAGGTTGGCTTTAATATATATATCTAATTAGTTGACTTTTTTCGAGCTTTGTTTTAGATATTGCATTGTTTTTTAAGTGTTCTTGAATTTTTTTTTTTTTAAAAAAAAGTATATTGTTTTTTGAACAATAAAAGCATTACTAAAGATAATCCATTTCAACTTTCTGTTAATTATAGACCATAAAATTATATAAAAGTTCAAAATTTAACTTTTTCTATATCAAACAATAAAAATTTAAATATATAAATATCAAGCAATAAAAATTTAAATATATAAATAACACAATCATTTATCACTCAAAAACAAACAATTTATTCATTTAAATATTATTCAAACTTTGTCAATATTACTTTATTGAAAAATGGTTCTTTGTATTATATTGATTAATTTAAAAAAGAAGCATCCCAGTGGGCACGGACGTAAATAAAATGTCTTTTAAACGTCTTATACACGTTTTGGACGTCTTTTAAACGTCTTTTGGACGTTTTAGACGTCTTTTGAACGTCTTTTGGACGTCTTTTGAACGTTCAAAAGACGTCTTTTTTGGCCCGGTACCCACTGGGACACACATATATTCTTTGTTTATCCAGTGTTCAAAAAAAAAATTATTAAATTAAGAATAATTTTTTTCTTCTTGCATAACTCTTTTCTCTAAACATGTGTATATACATGTATACATGTGTGTGTGTCTATATATATATATATATATATATATATATATATATATATATATATATATATATATATATATATATATATATATATATATATATATATATATATATATATATATATATATATATATATATATATATATATATATATATATATATATATATATATATATATATATATATATATATATGGCCAAAATGATGAATGGTCCATTCGTAACTATTGTAGATAATTACTTATAAATACAAACCATGCGAGCTTGCAAATTAATAAACAATTTTCGAGCAGCGCGTGTGGTTACGTAGACTTTTTTATCTTATAGTATGGCAACAATATCACATGCTAAACGTACGCAAGTACAACATTTAATGGAATACGGCAAGTCTAAACAAACGATTGCTGCGCATTTGAAAATGTCTATTACAACTGTTCACAATATCCTTCAGCACATCAAGTCAAAGCAGGAAAATATTTTGGACATTCAATAAAAACCAACGATATGCTTCAATCTCCAATACGTTTCATCTTCTGTTAGCAATATCCAGCAATTATAACTTATGGTGCAATTTTTGCCAGTGGTGCTAGTTTACACCTTATACAACAAGGTGAGGCTGTAAATTCCGCAAATTATTTGGAAATTTTGAAGAAAAATGTGTTAGTTTTTAATTAGTTTGGAATTTTGTCATATTGTATTTAAATAGTTTCGAAAGTTTGATAATTATATACGCAATGGGGCAACTTGCTTTCAGATAAAAACGGTTAAATTCAATTATTCTTCTTACACCGTGGTCGGAAAATTCACTTATTTTAAAAAAACTCCATAAAAAAAAACTTCCATCAAAAACTTTTAGATAAAATTGAAAGCAGAAGTTTCTAAACTGAACTCAATCTCAGTAGAAAACCTGAGAAAACTCATAATGAAAGCGTGATGTCTTAAAATAAAGCCTGAATGTTGTGAATTACTTGGTGTCTTAGAGAATAGAGGCTGTTCTAAAAGTTCGAAGAGTCTATGCAAAGTATAAAAATATGTATTACACTGTGACTTCTTCTTTATTTTATGTTTATGTGTGTTGTTTTTTGAATTAAAATGTTTTCTAGTATTAAATGCATTTTTTGCTATAAATATTGGATGTTTTTGGTCATAACTGTATTCATATATATATATATATATATATATATATATATATATATATATATATATATATATATATATATATATATATATATATATATATATATATATATATATATATACATATATATATATATATATATACATATATATATATATATATACATATATATATATATGTATATATATATATATATATATATATATATATATATATATATATATATATATATATTTCACCCGGCAATGACAGTAATGTTTGCTTTTTCTGTTCAGTGATAATATCTTAAAACTTTTTCATGACATGAACATGTTAAAATTTTAAACTTGTTGAAGTCAAATAAACTATCAATGAAAAGAGAAAAAAACTAAATGAACTCTATTTTATCCGAAATCCAAAAAGCATATTTAACCAAATGATATGCCTTAAATATATATTGACAACGTTCAAATAAAGCAATCAAAAGTTATACATTTCCTTGACCATAAGAACTTCTTGGAGCATTTTAAATACCTCTTTAAAAAATCACAAAGCAGGTTAATGAAAGGACATTTTGTCTTCTACTTGCTCTAGTCAGATAAGAGAAAAATGTAAAGAAAATAGTAAAGTTTAATGATAGTATTCTTAATACGTACATATTAATAAGATTAAATAAATTCTTTAAAACTTGAAACAAAAAAAACAAAAAACCCAAAAAATCGATAGCCTTGTCTTCCAAACACTAAATAGTTATGCCCAAACAAATTCATTCCTCAAATGTAAGCTTAACTTGTCTATTATTTCCTAGCAACAATAATTTTCAATAAAGTTTGAAAACTTAGCTTGCTGTTAATATTAACTGTTTATTGTTTCATTGTTTATTTTATGCCAAACCAAACTATGTAATGATATGTAATGTAATGATTAAGGTGGTACACCACTAAAAAGCACTTTTTCAATTTAAAATTGGAATATATTGGAATAATATTTTTCTGATTATAAAGTTATCAAAAAAAATATTTGAAATGAAATTTTTTTCTAAAAGTTTTTTTTACATCCTTAATGGCGGAAAAACTGCTTAAAAAATGCATAAAATTCAAAAACTTTGTGACGTGATATCTTCCGTTGTATACATTTTCTCTTGTTCAAATTTAGTATATTGTTGCATTATAATGTTTTATTCCGGTTGACAGATGGATTTTTGATTTAAGGACATATTTTAAGTTTTATTACGAATTATTAAAAATATGCTTGAAATTCTAAGTAATTTAAATTAAAATGTGAAATAATTTCTTTATTTAAAAATATTTAAGAAGAATTTTTTAAATCCCATCTGTTAACCAAATTTCTTGAGTATATTGAGTATACCCTGAAAATTTCAGGCAAAAATCATTAACCAATACAAAGATATTATGTTTCAAAGTTACCCTAGTATCACAAAAATGAAAAATTGTAAAAAACACATTCAAAGTTTTTTTCCAGTAAAATCTTGGTTAATGTCCACCAGAAACATATGACTGATTAGTTTCATTTGAATTTTGTTTATCACTGAACCCTTTGGTTATTGATCTTAATCTTTTTTTTTTTTTTTTTACACACTTTTGTGTCGATTTTCGCTTCATTTGATTCACACGAGAATCGTCAAACTGAATAGATGTCATTACTGATATATACCCAGTCAAATTGCACTCTTTTAAAACATCCAAAATACCTTTGCTACCATCATTAAAATGAATAACAGCAGAGTAAATTCTCATTTCAACTGTTTCTCTACTGACAAAAGTGTTTTTTGAAACTCTAGACCATATGAGGGCAATCAAGGACTCATTAGGATTTTGTGTCTTACCGTGAAGGCATTTAGATAACAGTTGATCGACTTGTAAGCTTTTAAAAATTGGTATTAGCAGGTTTTTAATCTAGACTGAAATTGAATTTGATGGTATATACTGCTTTGTTTTATTCCAATATCTGCACCAGCTTTCAGAATCACGAGGACAAAACTGATGTCGCTCATCTTGATTTAGAATATTGGTAAAATGGAAAAGAAAAGCATATATAGACTTCTTCATA